CATGAGTCTTGCATTATCTACACTTTTTGCATTCTCCTTAAAGTTTTTCAAAACCGGTTTTCAAAACAAAATACGTCTTAATGGGAATGGTGAACATGAATCAATGATAGTTGACTGTGTGCTTTAGACTGTTCCTAGTGACATGCTCATTCATGATTTAGGACTAGACTAGGCGGTAGCTAAGCACATTTGAAATGAAAGTACCCCAGAGGAATTTGAATAATTTCGATTTAGATGAAGGGATACACTAGCTCTGTTTTATTTGGACTTAATTTTCTCATTGAAGCATTAGACCAGGGAAACGAATCATACATTCATGACTCCTTTATCCTTTTACCACTCTCTGTTGATCCTGAATGGCTAGTTCATCTTTAGCTAGTTCCCCACCTTAACCAATCCTCTTTCAAACCACATGCACTCTTGTTTTCTATTGTCTTATATGCAGATAAGTGCAAAAAACGTTGGAGAGAAAGAGGAACGACGCAATTTTCAGTCACCAAGGACAGAGACCTGCGATTTGCCGGAAGAGTTCCCGGAAGGATTCAACACAAGAGGAAGCTCAGTTTGCCTTAGAAAAATCTCAAATTTTGGTACAATCTCGTCATCTAGTCTCTCTCTCTTTAAAAAGAATTTCCTTTTCAAAAAAAAAAAAAAATCCGAAAATAAGAAAAGAAAGGAAATAAAAGCCTTAGAGAGTCTAGAGATTCGAATTTTAAGTCCCAAGGCAACTGGAGTTTGATTTTATGGAGTTTTGGAGATTGTTTTCTGATTCCCGGAAAGAATCTAAGTCTGGGGGAACAGCTGTTTACAACAAAGGAGGAAGGATTATGCAACAACATTTGGCAAGAAGAAGTAACTGAAAACTGTGGTCATCAACAAATCCTTATCTCTCTTGCGGTTTTGGATATTATCTTGCATCCTCCAGATCTTCAGGTAACCCAAAACACTTTAACTCCACCACTTAAATAGCCCTTTAATGCCAAACGCCGTCTACCCTGGATAATGTCTTTAATGAGAACTCACTATTGAACTTAATGAATGTAGAGAGCTAGTTGACTAGAATCAAGATTTAAATTGTTTAAGTTTTGCATGACGGAAAAAGTGGACTAGTATCTCTTGTGCATTGGTGAGAATTTTCTAGACTAATTTGTGGATTGATGCACTATCTTTGGTCCTAGTTTAGGTGTTCATGTCTATGAGATTTGTGCAATTCCTATTTTTGTTGTCACTTAACCAGTTTATGCTTTTGCTTTGTTTGAGGACAAACAAAGGTTTAAGTCTGGGGGAGTTGATAACACCGTATTTTGACCACTTTTATGGATCGTTTTGAAATACTTTTTCTATGTTTTTAATTCTTTTTAAGTACTTTTATCACGTTTTTCTAGTATTTGTAGTTTCAAGACTCTTTTCAGGAAACTTAGGGGAAAGCTTAACAAAATGGATAGAAAACCAGATTTCAGCTTAGAGTCAAATCGTCAGAAGTTCACCCCTGATTGAAGGCCTTCTCACCGTCTGATCCAGCTCAAATTTGGAGACCTTAAAGATGGAAGTATCAGCTTTCCAGTGCACTTTACAGCTTGGCAATCCAACGGTTCAATCAAAAGATACGCGAAGAGCAAGATGTCCCGTAAACCAGCCGGCAAGCACTTCCACCCGCGGCCAACAAGCAATTTCCCGCGGTCAGGAGCATCCCGACCGCGGCAAACCACTCATTCCCCGCGGTCACACTTGTCCCGACCGCAGCCATCAACCTCCGAGCCCAAAAAGCCCATTTCTGAAGCCCACATTTGGAGAAACCCTAAGTGACGTCCAGAGAGGTCTTGAGCACTATAAATACATGTCTTAGGAACCCTAAATCAAAAAGAACCGAATACCATTTATCATTACTTCATACTTTTATTGTTTTTGCTTTAGCTTTTAGGGAGAGAGAGATTTGTTCTCTTGAACCCTTGTTCTTTCTTTTTCAATTTCGGTTTCTATTCTACTTCTTAATACTATGTCTTTGATTTCGTTCATCATGTCTGAGTAGTTTTATTGTTGGGATTAAGGGATTTTCAATGGGGATTTATATGTTCGATGAGGATTTCATGAGCTTTTGAGCTGAATCTTAGAACTTTTTCTTCTGAATTCGTTTTTACTGCATGAGAGTAGCGTCATGAACTACAATCTGATCCAGATGCTTGGTGACACGAAAGTGTTCATCAGGTATCAGATCTAGTTTGGGAGAGCAAAACAAACATAGGAGTGGAAACCTACCTATGGGCGATTTGTGAATTAGGACAAGTCTTAAACATTATGCATCTCTTCTCTTCCAAGGCCAGAGTGGAAACCTACTGGTCAGGGTTTAGAGAGATAGTTGTCTATGATCACGACAGTGGCGTATTCATACGTCCGTGACTCCAGTTCGAAAAGTTTAAGCTAAGATCTTATCAATTTTACTCTCTAGCAATGTTTTGAATCGTTCGTACCCCTGAGAAAACTTCCCTGAAGCCCAACGCCTTCTTTCCCATTGATTTACACCGATTTTCTTTCAAGCTTTAGTTCAATATTGTCTTTCCTTTTTAGTTCATTTTCATTTAAGCAATTAGATATCCGTTTTTTACATTTTTAGTCATTTTCGTTAAGTTTAGTTATTACGTCATTTAATTCCCGTATTTTCTTTTAAGATTTCGTTTTTACATTTTAAACACACTACCAAACCCCCACAAAACCGTTTTGGTTCTAGAATTCCTTACTTTATACTTACTTCAAAGGCTTTTTGCAGGAAAAGATCCCCCTTCCCTGTGGATTCGATCCCTAAGTACTACAATCGATCAGCTGTGCACTTGCGGCTATTGATTTCAATTAGGGTAAAACTTGACACCCTCACCGACACACCATCAATCAACAACAACAAAGATCGAGTCTTTGTGCCTGATCTTGGGTAAGCCTAGTACAAAATCCATAGAAATATCCACCGATGGTGCGTTAGGGATAGGTGAAGGTAAATATAGACCATGAAGTTGTAACCTGGACTTGGCTTTATGACAAGTAACACATCGTGAGCAGTGTCTCTCCACATCTTTCTTGAGGTGCGACCAAAAGAAGTGGTCAGCGATTACGGCTAGTGTCTTGTCCACTCAAAAGTGACCCATGAGACCTCCACCGTGTGCTTCCTTCAGCATCAGCTCCCTCAAAAACCCTTGTGGAACACATAGTCTCTTGTCTCGGAAAAGAAACCCATCGTGTAGGTGATATGAGGTATAAGCTCCCTTGCCATGTCCTTGATAAGCTTCTCCGAACTCTGGATCTTCTTTGTATAGCTCCTTGATATGCTCTAAGCCGAGTACCTTGGCCTTCATTGTAGAGATCAATGTATGCCTTCTTGAGAGTGCATCGGCCACCACATTCTCTTGTCCCTTCTTGTACTTGATCACAGAAGGAAAAGTCTCTATGAACTCCAGCCATTTAGCATGGCGTCTCTTAAGTGTGGTTTGTCCTCTTACGTGCTTCAAGGTTTCGTGATCAGTATAAATGATGAATTCCTTGGACAACAAGTAATGCTGCCAGGTCTCCAATGCTCGGACTAAGGCATATAATTTGTTGTCGTAGGTGGGATAATTTAGTGTGGCTCCACTAAGTTTTTCACTGAAGAATGCCACTGGTCTCTTCCTTTGGTGTAGTACAGCTCCAATTCCCACCCCTGAGGCATCACACTCCACCTCAAACATTTCTTCAAAGTCGGGTAAGGCTAAGACAAGTGCCTGTGTTAATCAACTCTTCATGGCTTCGAAAGCTGCGTCTTGGGCTGGTCCCCATGTGAATGACACGTTTTTCTTGATCACCGCGGTGAGTGGGGAGGCCACTGTGCTGAAATCTCGTACAAAACGCCTATAGAAGCTGGCTAGACCATGAAAACTTCTAACATGACCGATTGTAGTTGGAGTAGGCCACTCGCGTATTGCCTTGATCTTCTCTTCGTCAAATTGTAATCCTTGTTCACTTACTACAAAACCTAAGAAAACAAGCTTGTTAGTACAAAATGTGCACTTCTTAAGGTTAGCATATAGGCCTTCCTTGCGAAGTGTTTTAAGCACTAGTTCGAGGTGTTGAAGATGATCACTAAGGTTCTTACTATATATAAGTATATCATCGAAATAAACAACTACAAATTTACTTATATAAGCTCGAAGAACTTGGTTCATAAGGTGCATGAAGGTGCTTAGTGCATTAGTCAAGCCAAAAGGCATAAATAACCACTCATACAAGCCTTGCTTCGTCTTAAATGCGGTTTTCCACTTGTCTCCTTCACGCATTCGAACCTGGTGGTATCCACTCTTTAAGTCCACCTTTGAGAAGATTGTGGATCCGCTTAGCTCGTCCAACATGTCATCTAGGCGTGGAATGGGGTGCCTATACTTGATGGTGATGTTGTTGATGGCACGGCAGTCCACACACATTCTCCATGTACAATTTTTCTTTGGTACTAAGAGAACTGGCACAGCAAAAGGACTGAGACTCTCACGGATATAACCCTTGTCCATTAGTTCTTGTACTTGTCTCTCTAGCTCTTTAGTCTCCTCGGGGTTCATTCTATAAGCTGGCTTGTTAGGCAATGCTGAACCGGGAACTAAGTCAATTTGGTGCTCTATTCCACGAAGTGGTGGCAACACTGGGGGTATCTCTTCGGGAAACACATCCTTAAACTTGTTCAAAATAGTTTGTACTTCAGGAGGTATTTCAGAGTCACCTAGACCTGCGCTTAAACACTCTTTAAACATCATCAGTAGCACGGTGCCATTGGCACTCATGGTTTTATAAACATCACTAGATGATAAATAAAGACTGTTTTTACTTAGCTCGGATTCTTTTTTCATGTGCACTTGCATTTCATGTACCTCGGTGGGGCTGAGAGGCGCAAGATTATACTTACGCTCTTTGTGCATGAAAGAATAATGGTTGGTGCGGCCATTGTGGGTTGTGGCTCGATCAAATTGCCACGGTCTACCGAGTAGTAGATGTCATGCTTGCATTGGCACCACGTCACAAGTGACTTGATCATGGTATTTGCCGATGCTAAAAGGTATTAATACTTGCTCGGAGATCTTGAGCTCAGTCTGATCGTTTAACCACCTTAACTTGTAAGGGCGAGGGTGCTTGGTTCTCTCAAGACCTAACCTGTCCACCATATACTTGCTAGCCACGTTAGTACATGAACCACCATCTATGATAAGGTTACATACCTTGTTTTTGACGGTGCATCTAGTATGAAATATGTTCTCTCTTTGGGCTGTTTCCTCAGGGTGAACTAGAACGCTTAACACTCGGCGAGTTACTAAGAGTTCACCAGTATCAGGATATTCAACCTCTTCATCCATGTCGTTAGACTCATCTTCTTGTTCATCTTGCGATTCATAGTCACCGCTAAGGGTAATGATCATGACTCGCTGGTTTGGGCACTCCCTTGACATGTGACCCCTACCTTGACATCTAAAACACATTATGTCACGAATTCTTGAGGTGGGGTTAGAGGACTTACCTTGCTCGGTTCGGTTGAACTTGGGAGCCTCTGTGTTTTTGCCTTTGAATATTGATTCAATCTCCACGGCTTTGCCCTTGTCCACTGGTTTAGAACTGATGGCGTTCCAGGGCTGGCTCGTGCGGTTGCGGTTGGTGAGAGATGTTTTGCGCTTAATTTGCTGCTCCACTTGCACAGCTAGGTGTAATAACTCGTGCAGTCCACTATATTGGGCTCTCTCCACCTTTCTTGCAATTCGTTCTTGTAAGCCGTCAATGAACTGGGCCATTAAGGCCTCCTCCGATTCTTCTAACTCCAGTGAGTTAATTAGCTTCTCAAATTCCTCAAAATACTCATCTTCGCTTCTGTTTCCCTGAGACAATTTACGAAAACGCTTTTGTAAGTCTCTATGATAGTGTTCAGGCAGATACCTAAGCCGTAGGAGGAATTTCATGTCGCTCCAAGTCGGGACCGGTCCAAATCGTTGCCTTCTTCTCTCGGCAATGTTTCTGTCCCACCACGCTAAGGCATTATCAGTGAGCTGTGCAGCTGCAACAGCCACCTTCTTGCGTTCAGCGTAGCCATAGCACTCAAATATGTGCTCTAGTCGTCTCTCCCAATCCAAGTATGCCTCGGGGTCCGATTTTCCTGCAAAAGTAGGAGGCCTTAGCTAGAGATCATGAGTTTGCTCTCGGGTATCTACTACCCTAGCTGGATTTCTTCTTAGAGGATTCGGTCTCCTCTGATGTTGATGCTGAAGAGGATCGGGTGGAAGTTCATCTTCCAACTCGGGCATCTCTTCATCATCACTCGCGTCACCGGCTAGCACTTGGTGCTCCTCGAACTGGGGCTCTCCTTGGTTGTGCCTCAACTCGGTCTATTCTTGCTCCAAGTTCTTGACGAATGTTACCCATTTGTTGAGTCATGTTCCTCAGCTCCTCTCTCATTGCGGTCATCATTTGAACAAGAGCATAGTTCGGAACAGGTTCTCCCTCGGCCATGTTGCTAGCTAGGCTTTCTTAAAGTTCTTGTACTCAACGAAAACAATAAGCAAGTCAAAGGTACCAACGAATAACAATAGTAATAAGGCAATAAACTATATCTCTCGACACTAAAATGAAACTAAATAACTTTTTATAGGGTTTTCAAATTTTACTTTGCGATGAACATGAATTTAACGGTCTTAAAACTAACAATGCAACGGATTGTTCTTTTTTTTTTGACTAATGAATACGAAAGCAAGCAATTAAGTTTTTCTAGGGTTTATGGTTTTATGAGTCTAAACAAAACTAAATGAGTATGAATAAAAATGAAAGAATGCAAGGGATAGAAAACCAAAGGCATGAACCTTTGGCTCTGATACCAAAATGATATAAGACTCGGGTGAGACTTATAAGATTGCGGAATCGATGGCTTGGTGGGATCAACACGCTGGCTATGGCGCTCTCTCGTGAAGATCAGTGGATGGAGATGGTAAGACAAGGCTTGTTTCCACAAGACCTGAATCGAGATGGGATCTGTCAAGCTGGCTTTAACGCTCTCTCTTGAGGGATCGGTTAGGGGTTTTGAGGTGGATCGAAAGCACCACAGAGATAATGAAAGGATCTCTGATACTGCGGCTCAACTCTTGGTGAATCACACACGCAAGATCAAGCAAGAAAGCTCTTAGATACAAGCTAAGAAAACGGCGTTATTTTATTGATATCGGAAAAAAAAAGGTTGAAGTACAAGAGCTGCGTGTGGGACTTTATAAACAGTCCGTCAGCTTTGAACCTTCAAGTGTTTGACTCAAAGAAATAAAAAAAAACGACACTAAGGACTCAAAACAACAGGACTTATAAAAAGAAATAAAGCAAAATGGCAAAGCGTCTCATTTGGACACAAAAATGGAAAGTTCACTTAAAAATAAAAAGGAAAAGAAACTAATCATGTGCAACCTTTTCTGGACTTGTTTCGTGCACCTCTGATGCTCTCTAGTGTGTTAGATACCACTAGGATACTCCCATGTTACTTGCACAGATCGTATAAATGGAAAATACCTGGTCTCGGCGGGTTGTGGGCTTGCTTGTTACGTCGTTGAGTAGCTCGTTAGTCTTGAGGTTTTCTTCGTTAGTCTTGATGTTTTCTCCGTCTAGAGTCCTGCTAACGTTGTGTCCTGCGAGTTCTTCAAGTATCTTCACGCATCCCACTTCATGTTCATATTCTTGTCTCATTTGCTCGCTATTGGCTCTGAGTCTTGAAACGGTTGTATCTTGAGGGTCCAATGCGGTCTCTTCGAGATTCTTGGTGTTCCGTGTTCTATTTCCTGCCAAGTAAACATGTATACCTGGTTCTAGTTGAGGCTGGCTCTCTTTGAGGCTCAGACGCGCGAAACCCTCCATTATCTCTAAATCGGGTCCTTTGGGGCTGTCTCGCGTGTAATGCTCTTGAGACACGGTTTTGAATGCATCCCCAAGTTCCATGGTACTTAGTAATGATTCCACGGCCAAGTTGAACCCTTCTCTAAGCCTCCTTGCTTTGGAACGGGTCATGGGTGCTTCTTTGAGCTCAGGAACGATCTTTGGGTCTGGTGATGGTTCGATGGCCTCATCACATATTGCTACACTTTAATTATAAGAAGCAAGCCTTTAATGAATTAATTAAGAAAGTCATAGATGTTTTCAATTGCTGATTCTTTCATGGATACGTTCACACTGTAATATGTAGACACTTCCTTGGCTAACAAAACTAGTTAACGTCCTTGGTATATATAAGATTACACTGATACGTCCACACCGCTGCATCCACACTAAAATATAGTCCATTGAAGAAAATACATATAGAGATGAACAATATAGGGATACGTCCACACCGTGACGTCATAAGCGCTTGCAGCTTCCTCGGCGGAATCGAAAGTACCAAGCCAAATACGAGATTTTTTTCCATGAGAAAAAAGCATAGCAATGTGAGAATGAGAAAGGGAAAGAGTATGTTGGATTTGGAGTACAAGGAGCTTAAAGGGTTTATGGATATGGGTATTGTGTTTTCCAAGAAAGACCATAAAGACTCAGATCTGGTTTTGATTCTTCTTGGGTTGCAGATGTTGGCAAAAAAGATGAAAGAGAATTGAAAAGTAACAGGGGAAAGAAGAAAGAAGAAGAAAAAAGGAACGAAGAAAGATTTTTGGTTTAATAAATTTGGGTTAAGAGAATTAAATCATAATCGGTTAAAGTGGTAGAATGATTTTTGGTTTGGTAACAGAGGTGGCATGTTTTCATTTCACAAGGTAAAGATGAGAAAAAGTGTTACTTCAAAGCAAAGTGTCAAAAAGTATGACAAACTCAAAAAGTGTCATCAGGGGTAAATATTTCTTCGCTATTTACTAGTGTCTTCCAGACCCAATACCCAAAGATAATCGAACAACTGAACAAACATAGTGAATTGTGACAGCTTTAAGATGACAGTGATCTAACCAGTTAACAAAACATACCAGATAGCGACTTTACATAAAAAACTGTCAACAAGGTTAGATAAGACCATCTCTAATCACTATTCATCTAAACACCATATTTTGGAGTTGTGAATAGTGTCAAATCTGGTGTTTGGATGAATAGTATTTTCTTTCCATATCCAACCACAACACCAAATCTCATACTAAAAAAAAATATTTTTATTATTATATTATTAAATTTAAAATACACAGTACTAATTCTCAAAATTATTTAAAAATTAATAAGATTACTAGGAATTATAAGATCACTTGTAAGGCTTTATAAGATTTCTTATAAGGGTTTATACGATTTATTATAAGAGTTTAGAAAATATTGTTTAAATTTATATTATGTCTTTAAAACTTATCTTGTTTTATTTAAATTTTTAATTTGTTTGATTTTAATTTTGTAATTTTATATTTTCAGTATTTTTAATTGAACTTTATTTAATTTTAATGATAGTGTGTATTAACTTAAATATTTTATGTATTTATATTAATTACAATTAAATTTCATATTAATTACACTTAAAAATTATATTACTATAAATGATGAGATAAAAATACAATTTGGTATATTAATTCTTATTATGAAATTTAATCCATTGATAAATATTATAATATTTATATTATAATAAAGGTAATAATAAAATATTATTATTTTTTTAGGTTTTGTGAATAGTGCAACACCAAATTTGGTGTTCTACTATTCACAAAACTCTATAAAAATTTTTTTTGGCGTTGCATATGAAATTCCAACTAAATTCGGTTGGAGAAAGAAGAACGCTATATATGCAGTTATGTCGTCCGATTGGAGAAGCTCTAAGAGATTCTTTTTAGAGAGCTTCTGGTAAAACCATGCTGATAACTTTTGCAGAGGAACCTCTTCCGTAGTAGTAACTTATGTTGCAGAATACCCAAATCCAATTTAGTTTATCAACAACAAAGCAACTAAGTCCTAACATTTGAGCAACAAAGCAAAGTTTATATAAGTCACTAATTTAGATGGAGTAAGCTTCTGAAACAGGTATCAATAAATCTATTTACATGAAACCAGCAAAGAGAACTCGAAACAGGTACCACTAATTCTCGAATTGAAAGCAAAAAAACCAGCAATGCGAATCAACAACACGAAAAATGGGTTCGACAAATAGATGAAATCTACTTCAAATATTGAATAACAAAGACTTATGGCAAGAGATTAACGAGCTCGCACTTTGAAGAAACCTGAAAATCACTCGTGAAGAAGATTGGGAGATGGGTTTGAAGCAGCTCCTTCTCTCGATTCGTTTAAACTACGAACACACAGAGTTCGATTTGAGGAAGAAGATGGAGATAAATGAGGAAGAGAGAGGTTTTGTCGCAGAAAATAGAAGAAGATCAATACTCAGATTTTTTTTAGGTTGTTATAACACATATCATATATGGACTCTTATACCGGCCCATTAGGCCCATCAGGGCATTGTACTTAACCTAGATTCCCTATGTACTCTATATATACATTCCAGTGATTAATAAAGTTTCTAAGTTTTCACAACACGTTATCAGCACGATAAGACTCTCTGAGCGAAAAACCCTAATAAATCCGGCCACCACCAAAACCCTAAAAGCAAGTCAAAACTTAAAAGACGCATATCTTCCAAACCGTGAGGAACCAAAAGACGATCTACATATCAAATCGAAGCCCTCGACGAGACGAATCTACTGGTGAAAACCGTTTGTCGATCCAACGTCGGACGCGCCCTCACGCACACTTACAGTACACGACGATCAACCGAAAAAAAAAAAAAAAAAAAAAAACCAGATCCGAGTTTTTCCTTCTTCAACTAGCAGCTTCTCCAGTTTTGGTGATCAATCTTTGGAATTTGTAGCGGCTAACTGAGGTCTATTAGCTCCCAGTTTCATTAGCCTGTCAGAAATCCAAAGGTGGAAAAGGTATCTTCTAAAACTGAAAGCCATAGAACCTGTTGTTTAAACACTTCAAAACCCTATAAAAAAAAATCGATCTCTAATTGATTGAAAGTGTTTGATACTCTGATGATTGATTGATAACTTGTTGATTGATTGTTTAAATTACAAGTTTATGCATGTTCAAAGGTTTTAAACTCGTTTTATAAAACCCTAATCTACAAAAACCTAACAACCGTTTTTGGCCATGTTTATGGCATAAACCTATTCGATTTTCTTCATGTTTAATAAGCTTGTTGCAGCTTATTTGATTGTTGATTCTCTTGCTTGAAACACTTGATTGAATAAACTAAGAAAATCAACCCTAAATCCTAAGCTTGATTCACGATTTTGTAATCTTCAAAATTATAAGTCATAATGCTTAAACCCTAGTCCTTTTCACGTGATTTCTTTGTTGTCCTTGTGAAATTATTAAAACCATCGACCACAGATCCTATAGATCTCGAAATCACATCCAAAATATGTTTTCCAAACCGTTAAAACCCTAGATAAAACCCTAATCATATTCGGCTCCCCTAGGGTTCCTCCTAAACCGCCTAAAACCGGCTAAACCTGGTTCTCATT